ATTTGTGAAATAAGTATAGTGGGGACTCACATATTCCTTATTGTGGGAACATTATCATTCCAGCATTCCAGGAGAGTGAATCTGTTAGTTTGGATTTCACATCTCTTACAGTTTCTCATTTGAATGTCTGGGGGTAATGAAATGCAGTTCATCCTTTCAACAAACCCTGTTATTATGTGTTAGGCACTGTGCTAGGATTTGGGCATAAGAGATGATAGGGTTCTCAAATGTATCCATATTGCAGCTTATAGCGGACCTCATAAGCCTTTTTCTTGCCTCTTCTGTTGAGTCTAAAAGCTGAACACCTTTTGGAATCCTGAAGAGCAGATCTCAGTGAAGCAATAAAAAGTCCCAGAGGCAAAAAAAAAAAAAAAGAAAGAAAGAAAAGAAAGTGTGGGCATTTAGCACCGAGTAGGACACAGCATCCCTTTGTGGCATTCTTGACAAAATTTCATAGCAATGTGTTCTGGTCCCCTTGGAGATTTATATACATACCTTAGAGAGGGATGCCAAGACTGGGATGGTGGAAAGGCCTGTTCTGGCCTCTCATGAATCTGTCAGAGATAACATAGTCTTCTTTCTTGATGCACAGGTGGTGCTACCAGATCTAATTAAAGGGTAGCTGTCAATTAAGTGCATGCAAGCCTCTGAGGTACACGTGAACCCTATGATCCTACTACAGTGCCCTTCTGCATGTCCCCTCACTCTATAAAATCTGTGGACTAAGGGCTGGACTTCATGAGAATGGCTATGTGGCTGCCAATATCCTCTGCCTGATATCCCAAGCCGGTCACATATGCTGAATAAAGCTCAGTGTAAACTCTACAGAGGGGCCAGCTTCATTTTCCAGTCTCAAAGTGCCTTTTCAATTTGGGGGATATTTTATGGTCCCTTGTTGGACTTTTCCAACAAGGGACCATAAAAAATCCAAAAATTGTTGGATTTTTTGATGTAGAGTTGGGTAATACATGTTATTTAGCTCAGTAAAATAATTCAGAACTTAGATTAAACAAAGATAGTATGCATGTCTTTTAAAAGGAGGCATAAACATAGGGGTGCATAGATCTCTTCAAACCAGTGTTTTCATTTTCTTTGGGTAAGTACCCACTATAGGAATTATTGTATCATAGGATATTTCTGTCTTTAATTTTTTCAGGAACCTCCACACTCTTTTCCACAGTGGCTGTACCAATTTATGTTCCCACCAACAGTGCACGAGGGTTCCTTTTTCTCCACACTCTCACCAACACTTTTTATTTCTTGTCTTTTGATTTTAGCCATTCCTGACAGATGTGAGGTGATATCTCATTTGGTTTTGATTTGCATTTCTCTCCCTGATGATTAGTGATATTGAGCATCTTTTCACATGTCTGTTGGCCATCTGGAGGTCTTTGGAAAAATGTCTATTCAAGTCCTGTGGCAGCGTCGACAAGACTGACTCCATCTTTGGCCCTCCATCTTGTTCATGTTTGCACAATGACACTGGAAACAAATAACATTTATTATCTTCACCATTGAGAAGTGGCAACTTAATGAAGAAAGATAATACCAAAATATTGAAGCATATACCTTCAAAATGACTTATATAAAAGCAGAATTAACTTTCAATTCCTAACACATGGTCTCATCTTCTAAATAAGTAATTGTGGAGGCTGAAAGTAAATTGGGAAGTTAAAAATGAAATCTTCACTCCTTATGAGTCACCTTCTAACATAAAAATCTATTACATGAAGGCTAAATTGTTTCCAAAGAACAGATCTTTTCATCCAGAACTAATTAGTCCCACTAACCCATATTTTCCTTTTGTTTACAGAAAGCCTTTTGCTTTGAATACCTTCTACTGACATAGGAAACTTAAACTTGATGGAACATAGCTAATTTGGGGGCAGTAGTCTCCCCACCCCCTCATTAGGGAACATACAAATAAAGACCCTTAGAGCTTTAGGTTTTGATTTTGTGAAAAGAACATTATTTTGCAGTCTAAAGATGGTCCATTTCTTATTTTAAAGGTTAGGAAGTAAGATTGAAATGTGTGAGGGAAACCGTGTGCTTGCTTGAGTATGTTGGAAGATTGGAGATGGGTGGGAGGGGTCTGGTATACATACCAGGTTGAAGTCTGGTTCAATGTTGGTGAATTTTTTCTATTGATTTGTCATTTATTGTAAGAAACTCCCTACTTTTTTCTGTGGAGACAGATGGTATTCTGCCATTCATAGTCCATTGGATTAAAGTCTGGAAGCTGAAATCACAATTAATTTCATGTGGTATCTGGTGATCCTGAATTGTTCCCATTAAGAGAGTCCAAGCCAAGAAGTCTTCAAATACCAAAAATCAGAAACGTAATTCCCAAGTGGCCAAAAATCATGGATAAAATTATTCTCCTCACTTCTTTATTGTGAAATGTAGTGTAACTTACAGAAGACTGTAGAAATTATATGTGTAGTTTAAAGAATTTTAAAAATCTGTGAACTCACACCAGGCTTAAGTAGAACATGAATTCTTAGAAGCCCATGTGTGTCCTTCACTGATCGTATCCAAATGCTCCTTTTCTTTTCCCAAAGAGAATTCTGAATTTTGTGTTAACTGTTCCTTTACTTTTCTGTATAGTGTGGCAACCTCTGTAGATATTATTAAAAAATATTGATCAGGGGCGCCTGGGTGGCTCAGTGGGTTAAAGCCTCTGCCTTCGGCTCAGGTCATGATCCCAGGGTCCTGGGATCAAGCCCCACATTGGGCTCTCTGCTCCATGGGGAGCCTGCTTCCTCCTCTCTCTCTGCCGGCCTCTCTGCCTCCTTGTGATCTCTGTCAAATAAATAAATAAAATCTTAAAAAAATATATTGATCAGTTTTACTTATTTTTGAACTTTATATAAATCTTTTTTTTAAAATGTACTTTGGGTGCCTGGGCAGCTCGATTGGTTAAGCCCTTGGGGTGTTGATTTCTGCTCAAGTCATGATCTCAGGGTCATGAGATGGAGCCCCATATTGGGCTGTGCTGGGTGTGGAGTCTGCTTGGGATTCTCTCTCTCCCTCCCCCCTTACCCCTCCCCCTTGCTTGTGTGCACATGTGCACTTTCCCTCTCAAAAAAAATTTTTTTTAATTAAAAACGAAAAACATGATGTATGTTTTTAGCTATGACTCTTTTTTGCCTAGAATTATTATTTTGAGATTCATCCATGTTGATATCAGTACATAATTCATTGTAACTGCCATTAGTATTTCATTTAGTAAACAAACAATCCATCTATTGAAGGAAATTTAGCTTCCAGTTTTCTCAGGTTTTTATTTTTGTTTTTCAATTATAAGAAAGTGCTACCAATGCATTTTTTTATACATGTCTCTTAATATGCATGGAGTTTATCTATGTACCTAGGACTGGAATGCTGAATCACATGTTATATGAATATCCCACTTTTTAGGTAATACAAAAGTGGCTTCGGTTGTAGCAATTTATGTTCCCACCAGCAAAACAGAAAACTTCCCATTCCTTCACATCTTCACTTACACTTGGAGTCCTACAACTTTTCCATTGTAGCCGTGGGATGGGGATGCCACTGTAGTTTACTTTGGATCTTCCTGATTGTTAATGAATTCTGCTTTGAACGAGTTATTTGTGTATTTCTTAATTTTTGAAGATATAGGGATTTTCTATTATCTTTTTGTTACTGATGTCTAGCATAATTACACTGAGTCAGTAAATGTTTGATGTAGGATATCATTCTTTTGAAACTGTTAAGACGTGCTTTTTGTCCAGTATATTGTCAGTTTTTATAAATGCTCCATTGGTGCTGCCAAACAGAAACTGGCTAAGAGTAGGGGACTGTAGATGTCTATGAGTCCAAGCTTGTCCATTGTGTGGATCAAATTTTCTACATCAGTGTTTCTGAATGCTTGATCTGTTAGGTACTGCTAGAGAGATGTTAAAAATCTCCCACTCTTGTAAATTTATTGCATTCTCTTTGTTAATACTTCTTATATATTTTCAATCTATGTTGTAAGTTACAGATGATCTTTAACCTAGTTATATCCATTTTAATATGAGAAATACAGTTACTCAGGGAGACCTACTTTTGGAATATCTGTTATTTTTAGTTCAATGATTCTTATTTTTATATTTTATAAAGCATTTAATAAATCACACTTTATACAAGAAGGATTTTATCATCATATTTTGCAGTTTAGGGTTAAAAATATTCACATCCCTTGATGTTATTCTGGGATGCCATCTCAATGAAATAACCAGTAAATGAAAAGCTTTATGTACCACAACACATATTTGTGATGGTTGAAAGAAACATAGATTGTCACAATAGAAGAATGTTTAAGTAGCAGGGCACCTGGGTGGCTCAGTCAGTTAAGCAACTGACACTTGATTTTGGCTCAGGTCATTATCTCGGAGTCATGTGTTCAAGCCCCTCATCACACTCCACACCAAGTGGGGAGTCTGCTTGGGATTCTCTCTCCCTCTCCCTCTGCTCCTTCTGCTGCTTTTGCACATCAATCTCTTGCTATAAATAAATACATACATAAATAAATAAAATCTTTAAAAAAAGAATGTTTACATACTACAACACAAAGAATTTGTAATAGTACTATAAAGTTATCACAGTGATTTGTAAATAAAGTAGAATATACCATATGCTATGATTTCAATTACTTTAATGACAACTATGGAAAAAATTCTAAAGGGAAATATCCCTAAATAGTAACATCAGTTGGTGATATATGATTTCCCTCTTCCTTTCTATTCTTTGCATTTTCCCTATTTTCTACAATCTTTTTACAATAAACAGTGGAAATAAGCTTAAAAATATGGACTAACAAATATATTTCTAACTAGTATTTGAGTATTCATAGTTTGTCTTTCATTTTATGTTATGTTGTAATTGATATTTTTAAAATATAAAGATAAAAACCACTTAAAGCGTGTGATAGGGATATGTATAAAGTCAAAGTTGATGTTAAAAATAGATGTGTTATTGTGCTTTATCTCTCATAGACAGAATACTCCTTGAAGAGAACCAGTGCATTTCTCCTGTGGTTTCTAGTCATATGAGCACATGGACAAAACCAACAGCTGTTGGATCCCTCAGCCCACATGTGATAGAGTTCCCAAGAAAACGAAAAGGAAGTGACTCAGGCCCATCCCAGTAAGTGAATTTATTCCTTTAAGCCCATGAAATCTTTCATTCTAAGGGGGAAGAAAAGATTACTTTTTATTTTTATTTTTATTTTTTTTAAGATTTTATTTATTTATTTGAAAGAGATCACAAGTAGGCAAGAGAGGCAGGCGGGGGTGGAGGGAGGCAGGCTCCCTGTTGAGCAAAGAGCCCAAGGTGGGGCTCGATCCCAGGACCCTGAGATCATGACCCGAGCCGAAGGCAGAGGCTTTAACCCACTGAGCCACCCAGACGCCCCCAAAAGATTACTTTTTAAATCATCAATTTAAAAATGTTACATGGTAACATTTGGATAGGGACAATTACTTATCCACCCAACCAACCACCACCCGTCACTGACTGATCTGTAACTTTTCCATCCAACTTGGAAGCTTATTAGGTATCTAGGGAGGGTCAGTTGGAGTCTGAAAGACATAGGAACATAGGGTTAATTTGCTTAACATTTATGGTTACAGCACGATACTAACCTTCCTAACTGAATTGCTTAACCATGAGGAGAACATCTTTCTGTGTGTTTCACTTAACAAATACCACGTTGCTTCTTTCCTTATCCATCACTTGGTTATAATAACCAACTCTTGGTCATCTGTGGCCAGTTGAATCATATAAAACTCTTGTTTTCCATGTTTATTAAGCCAAGTAGATAACAAAGTCAATGTTGAGGATATCTGCTTTCTTGTTTACTTTCATTGCTTAACGCAGCTTGCAGCCCCAAATATTCTTTAATAAACTCCCCAAAGCTAGGGTTTGTATGGTGAAAATGATAAGGCAAAGTAAATATGACGATCTAGAGTACTCCATTTTAGGCTGGTACTTTACATAAATGAGAAAGTTGATGATAGGTCTCCATGAAGGAAGGGAAAAGTTTTGAATATGGGGACAAGATGACATACTGGAAGCAACCAGCTCTTTTTAAGACTGTTCTTTCCAATATACTTTCTGATTTAGTTAAAACTCCCAAGACAGCAGAATCAGTGTTTATTCAAATGTAAGAACCAGTGCATTTCCCAAGCCACGTATAAATGACCTGAAGGTTACCTACTGTTCTGGGTTGTCTGTATTCTCTCAGACTGTTCTACTAATGTGAATGTTCATAAATAACTACAGTTGACCAAGTGACTGGTCTAGAACTGTTTTCCGTTTTACATCCTGAATCAGCAGTTTGTAGTCCCCACTCAGCTCAAGCTCGAAGTGACTGCTGTTCCTTTTTATTTTCTTTTTCTTCGGAATCATAAGCACCGTTGTTCTTTTTTAGTATCCAGATAAGACTGTGAGCTGCTGAAGTGGAGGTGTGAGTCCTAGAGGCGACAGTTTTATGCCCCAGAGCCGGCATGGCTGCGACCTTCAGCGGTTTGGGGAGTGAATGCGAAGTGGAGTCCGTGGAAGGGGAAGTAATGGAAACATGCAAAGTACGGGCAGATAGTGATTTTTTGGCAGGAGACAACACTGAAGATTAGCCAGTTGCCCACAGTTTAGAAAATGAAGCCCGGATGCAGGAATATCGAGTGGCTTGCCTAACGTTACACAAGTAGTTAGAACTCCTGACTGTTAGTGTGGTACTTTCTTCATTACACCCTGCTTCCTGTCTCTCTGCAACTGGATGGGGTAGGGGACTTGTGGCACATGAGGATAATCATGCTGTCCATTTCCCAACATGTATGGGTAGAGGTGACCCAAGACCTCCTTCCTTCCAGGTCAGGACTCATGACAGAAAAAGTGGTGGAAAAGCTCTCTCAGAATCCTTTTACCTATCTTCTTTCAACAAGGATAGAAATATCAGCATCCCGTAGCAGCAGGTAAGTCCTGGACTTCCATTTGACATAATCCCTACTTGAAGAAAGCATGTAATGGCAGTAGACAGAAGTGTATATACATCCCACTTATTTGCTCATTGTCTGCCTTAGAGCTTCTCCATTCTGCCCCAATCCTTCTTTCATTCCACCGTTTTCCATTCCTCTAGTGAAATGATGGATGTCAAAGTACTTTATACGTTTTACAAAGTACTGATTGTATAGCATCCTTTCCAGAGACTCAGGGCATGAAAGCCAGTCAGTAGACATGAAGTTGATTTCATTGGTGGAGCCCCAGAATATTGGGCATTTTTAAACAAAGAAGAATGTATGAGAATGTTTGCCATTTCTGCAGCACTCTTGGTTTGAAGGGAGAGCTGATTCTTTTAAAGGGTCATTGATGAGGATTCCCTGGAAATATAGTCATTAAATATTTCTTGAGTACCTACTATGTGACACCCAGTGGACTAGGAGGGAGAAATACAAAGAAAAAGGAAACATGTACAAATGAGAAACAGGTAAGTATTACACATTATGATAACTGCCATAATACATACCCCAGGTACCCTGACAACAAGGACAGTTGGGCATTTAAATAAGACTGGGATTAGGAGGGAAGGACAGCTTCCTGCAGAGGTTGATTTAAGCTAAGTTTTAAATGAAGAAGGGAAGTGAGTCATTCTGAGCAGGAGTAGAGGAGGTACTTTAGGTGGAAGGAAGAACTGTGCATAGGCATAGGGCATGGAATATGAAATAGCACCTGCTCATCAGGAAACAAGTGGCTGTCACAATAGAGCAGAGGCTGTACTCAGAGGTGGGTGAGCTGTGAGACTTGGGAAATGAACATGGACTAGGTCAAAGAGATCTGTTGAACTAAAGAATACAGAAATCATCTTGCATGCAGTCGGGAAAACACAAGGATTTTAAGCTTGTCAAATTACATTTAAACAAAAATTGTGGGCCTTTGGACTTTTTTTATTTGGTAAAATATATATATCATAAAAATTGCCATTTCAACCATTTTTAACGTACAATTCAGTGGCATTAGTTACAGTCACAGTGTTGTACAACCATTACTACTGCCTATTTCCAAAACTTTTTTTTATTACCCCGACTAGAAACTCCATATGCATTAAATAATAATATTCCATACCTTGTTTCCTTCAGTCCCTGGTAACCTCAGACTACTTTCTAGCTCTATGATTTTGCCTATTCTAGATATTTTACATAAGTAGGGTCATGCAATGTTTATCCTTTTTTGTCTGGCTTATTTCACTTAACGTATTTTCAAGTTTTCTGTACATTATAGCATATATCAGAAATTCATTCTTTTTATGGCTAACATTCCACTGTATGTATATACCACATTTCTGTAACAATGTCACATTAATATCAGGTGTACAGCCTAGTCAACTTCTCTATACATTATGCTATGCTTACCACATAGCTGCAGTCTGTCACATATACTGCAATTTCAGTATCATTGACAATATTCCCAGTGCTGTGCCTTTTATTCCCATGACTTATTCATTCTATAAGTGGAAACCCATATCTCCCACACCCCTTACCATTTTTGCCCATTCCCCACCCTCCTTTCCTCTGGAAGCCATTAATTCTCTGTATTTATAGGTCCGATTCTGCTTTTAGTTTATTCATTTGTTTTTTAGATGCCACATGAATGAAATCATATGGCTTTTATCTTTCTCAGTCTGACCATTTCATTTAGCTTAATACACTGTAGGACCATCCATGTTGCAAATGGTAGGATCTCATCTTTTATATGGCTGTGGAATATTCATGTGTGTGTGTGTGCGCACACGCTCACGTGTATGTGTACTACTACTTCTGTCTATTGATGGACCCTTAGGTTGCTTCCATATCTTGGCTACTATAAATAATGTTGCAATAAACATAGGGGTTCATGTATCTTTTTTAATTAGTGCTTTGGTTTTCTTGGGTAAATACCCTGTAGTGGCATTCTTGAATCATATGATATTTCTGTTTTTAATTTTTCTGATAATTTTTCCATAAAATTATCCATATCCATAGTGCTTTCCACAGTGGCTATACTAATTTACAGCCTCACCACGAGGGTTTCATTTTCGGTACATCCTCTCCAACACTTGTTATTTCTCATCTCTTTGTTTTCAGCTATTCTGATAGATGAAAAGTGTTATCTCGTGGTTTTGGTTTGCCTTTTTCTGATGATTAGGGATTAGCATCTTCTCTTGTGTCTATTGGCCATCTGTATGTCTTTGGGAAAATGTCTATTCAGGACCTCTGCCCATTTTTAAATCAGATTGTTTGCTTTTTGGGTGTTGAGTTGTGTAAGTTCTTTTTTATTTTGGATATTAATACCTTATTGGATATGGAATTTGAAAATATCTTCTCCTTAGTAGGTTGCCTTATTATATGAAAGCCGCACAAAAGCTTTTAATTTTGATATAGGTCCAATAGCTTATTTTTGCTTTTGTTTCACTTGTGTTAGGAGGAATATCTAGAAAAATATTGTTACAGCCAACATCAGAAAAATTACTGCCTGTGTTCTCTTCTAGAATTTTTATGGTTTCAGTTCTCACATATAGGTCTTTCATCCATTTTGAGTTTATTTTTGTGAAATAGTGTTAGAAAGTGTTCCAGTTTTCCCAACACCATTTATTGAAGAGACTTTCTTTTGCCCCTGGCATAGTCTTGCCTCCTTTGTCATACATTAATTGACCATGTAGTGGTGGGTTTATTTCTGGCCCTTTATTCTTTCCCTTCGATCCGTGTGTCTGTTTTTGTGCCAGTACCATAGTGTTTTGATTACTATAGCTTTGTAGCATATCTTGAAATCTGGAACTGTGATACCTTCAGTTTTGCTCTTTTTCAAGATTGCTTTGGCTATTCAGCATCTTTTGTGGTTCCAGACCCATTGCAGGATTGTTTGTTGTAGTTCTGAAAAATGCTCTTGGTATTTTTTTTTTCCTTTTTAATTAATTAATTTATTTATTTGACAGTGAGAGAAGGAGAGAGAGCACAAGTGGGGGGAGCAGCAGAGGGAGAGGGGGAAGCAGGCTCCCTGCTGAGCAGAGAGCCCGATGCGGGACTCAATCCCAGGATCCTGAGATCATGACCTGAGCCGAAGGCAGAGGCTTTACCCACTGAGCCACCCAGGTGCCCCAATGCTCTTGGTATTTTGATAGGGATTGCATTGAATCTTTACATTGTCTTGGATAGAAGGGACATTTTTTTTAATTTAAATTCAATTGGCCAACATATAGTCCATCGGTAGTTTTTGGTGTGATGTTCAATGATTCATTCGTTGCATATAACAATATTAATTCCATGAACACAGAGTATCTTTCCATTTATTTGTGTCTCCTTTAGTTTCTTTCATCAAAGTCTTTACAGTTTCCAGAGCACCCATCTCTCACCATCTTGGTTAAATTTATTCCTAGGTATTTTAGTCTTTTTGGTGAAATTGTAAATGGGAGTGTTCACTTAAAATCTCTTTCTGCTAGTTTGTTATTAGTGTATAAAAATGTAAAAAAAATGCAGTGAATTTCAGTATATTAATTTTGCATCCTGCAACTTTACTGAATTTACTAGTTTTAATAGTTTTTTGATGGAGTCTTTGGGGTTTTCTATATGTATGTAGAATCATGTCTGCAAATAGTGACAGTTTCACTTCTTCCTTACTGATATGATTGCCTCTTATTTCTTTTCCTAGTCTGATTGCTCTGACTAGGACTTCCAACACCATCTTGAATAAAAGTGGTGAGTGGACATCCTTGTGTTGTCCCTGATCTTAGTGGAAAATCTCTTAGTCCTTCATCACTAAGTATGATGTTGACTGTGGTTTTTTCACGTATGGCCTATATTATGTTGAGATATGTTCCCTCTAAACCCACTTTGTTGAGAATTTTCATCATGAATCGGCGTTCAATTTTGTCAAATACTTTTTTTTAAAATCTAGAGAAAATCGTGATTTTTTTTTAAAAAAAGACTTATTTATTTTAGAGAAATTGAGAGTATTAGCAGGGGGAGAGGCAAAGTGAGAGGGAGACAAGCAGAGTCCCCACCGAGCAGGGAACTCTACACAGAGCTTGATCCCAGGACCCTGAGATCATGATCTGAGCCAAAACCAAGAGTTGGATGTTTAACTGACTTAGCCACCCAGGTGCCTTGAGAAGATTGATTTTTATTCTTCATTTTGTTGATATGGTGTATCATGTTGGTCGATTTGCAAATATTGACCCATCCTTGCATCCCCAGAATAAATCTGTTTGATCATGGTAAATGATATTTTTAATGTATTGTTGAATGTGATTTGCTAATATTTTGTTGAGGATTTTTGAATCTATGTTCATCAGAGATATTGGCTTGTAGTTGGTGTGTGTGGTGTCTTTGGTTTTGGTATCAGGGTAATGCTAGTCTCATGGAATTTATTAGAAAGCTCTCCTTCTATTTTTTTGGAATAGATTAAGGACAATGGGTATTAACTCTTCTTTGAATATTTAGAATTCACCTGGGAATCCATCAGGTCCTGCACTTTTTTTTTTTTCTTTTAAAGAGTGTGTGAGTGGATTTGGGGTGCAGAGAGGGAGAGGGAGAATCCTAAGAAGGCTCAATGCTCAGCTCAGTCTCACAACTGTGAGATCATGACCTGAGCTGAAATCAGGAGTCAGATGCTCAACCAACTGAGCCACGCAGGTACCCTGGATATTTTTCTATTATCAGTTCAATTTTATCACTAGTAATTGGTCTGTTTAGATGTTCTATTTCTTCTTGATTCAGTTTTAGAATATTGTATGTTTCTAGGAATTTATCTATTTCCTCTAGCTTGTCTAATTTTTGTTATGTGATTTTTGTAGTATTTTCTTATAATCCTTCCATATTTCTGTACTGTTCTTAGTTTTCTTCCTTTGTTTCTAATTTTATTTATTTGCCCCCCCTTTTTTTTTCCTTGATGAGTCTGGCTAAGGGTTTATCAATTTTGTTTACCTTTTCAAAGAACCAGCTCT